TTCCTGATGTGGTAAATTTAGACACTACCACAAGGAAAGAATCAAATCCATTTTCCCAATATTGCTGTCAGTGGAATCATATAAGCAACAATTTTCCACAAATGTCATTGTCAGGATACTTCAAATAAATAAAATTAAACAATTTTCTTTTGATTTTAAAACTTTGCGAAAAACTTATCCTACAATCCACATGGAAATTGTTGTTATCTATTCCTTAGCAATATATCATAACTTCTTAAGCAACTGCTCAAAATTCTGATGCGATCGAAAATCCACCTTCGCGATCAGAATCAGCATAATACTCCTTTAAGATTTCTCTCTATTATTTGGATTCTTAAAACATCATACATGTGACCCAGTCACATCATGTAATGAGGATCTCAGAATAGAACTTAACAGAGTTAGATAATGCGCTCTACCTGATGTAGAGTCAAACTTATTGACTTAACATCCTTAGGTAAATTTGGCAGCTTTGCAATCAACGCCCCTTCCTTTGGCAAAATAAACATATGGACCCTTTGGTAATGGGACTATCTCAGACTTAGCCTTTTCTCTTTACCATTTGTCAAAACCGGGTTGACTATGGCCATCCCTTTCCATTGGAAGAGAATGCTTTTTTTTTGGATTTCCAGTGTCACCATTGTCACTGTCCATAAAGTTTTTGGGAAGGTGATCTTCTAATCAAATTTGCTTCACTATCGTTCCAAATCATTGTTGATTCAGCAGCAGCACCAAGCAAATAGATATGATCATTAAGGTTCATGTCATAGTCTGTATCATAGTAAGTCCCAAGGAACTCACTATGTGACTTAGAAAGTGATTGAACTCCAACTTTCTCAAGACTTGAAACCAACTCTCCCGGCTTGTCAATATGTGACTTCATTCTAAGATGTGATCACACATAGACCTTGCTTGCCATTAGGGCTTGAGTGACCTTGAACTTGTGGGTTGGGAGAATAATTGGAGGAGGTGGAGGAAGTAAAGTTTCCAAGAGATTTGGGAAGATCATGATGTCTGAACTCGACATTTTGGGAGATATTCAAGATAGTTGATTAAAGTCCTTAATATAACACCCAATATGAAATATTAAAGGCTAGGATCCAACAACCTATTATAACTGGAAGAGGGATGCCGTAATCCGAGTTATAAAATAGTTGCAGGTAGGTAATGACGTTTACCAATTTCCACCATGAAAAACGAAATAATTAATTAGGTTTTTTACTTGGATTTGGAAACTCCTAGATCTTTTGAGATTCTTGAACTTTTCAATGGCATGTTTCAATCTCGAGTGTGCCCTTCAGGTTTTTGGTGACTGGGATGCCGAGGATCACAAAACAAGGTGTGAAGTAACCATGCAAATATACTTGGTAACCTTAATATTTACCCCTCATCGATGTGCCGGTTAACCACACGAGCTCCACCGATACTATGATAAATATTTAAGTTACCCTTTGCCTACTTTGTTAAATCCAGGTTAGTGTGCCGGTTAACCACACACGCTCCACTAACGGTTTAAACAGTGCAAAGTGTAATTTCATGGATTAGCACCTTATTCACATTTTCCTAAGTAACTAAGATTGGGAATTAATAAAAGGTTTAGTTACTTAGTATTTATCATTAATATTTTTAATGAAGGGAGAATTATAGTCCTTGTCCTACCTGTTCGGATAACGACCCTCCACCGTCAAGGAAGCGGTGAGTGAGAGTGGGACACCCATTAAACTGCAATTTTATGGCAGTAACACCTATACCCCCCTTATAGACCGACTTCGTGAATGAGGCCTACTAATGGTAAGACGACTTGCTCTTATACATATAATATATAAACTTTTAATATTAATACTAGTATAAGGGTGTATTTTAGACATTTAAATGACTTGATGGTTTAATCTATTAATTAACTAGGACTTTTAATTTAATTAAACTCAAACCATATATTTATGGATTTAATAATACTCTTTTAATTAAACGCTTGAATTAACTATTAATAAGTCCATAAGAGTAATTTGAACTATTCAACAAAACAGCATAATCCATTATTAAACTCAAATTAAAACCATTTAATTAATTGTTTAAGGTTATGAACCCAAGAGTTTAGAATTAATTCTTTTTTCATAAAAAACTTTTCTCAAATTCCAAAACTTGAGGGCAAGTTTTGTAATTCCTGAAAACCTTTGGATTCCATAACTTATGGAATTAATGGTGTTTTATGATGAACGTTTACATGTTCCATAACTTAAGAACAAGTTATGGAATTCTTTAAAAAACATTAACACCAAATTTTGTAAACTCCATAAAAACTTTGAATCAAATTTTTTTTTTAAAAAAAAACTTTCATATCCATAACTTATGGAAGTTTCAAAAACCCTTAAGATCACAACTTTAAAAAAAAAGTTTTGAGCTCCAAATTTTATGACAAAATAATGTAACTCCTTAACATTTAGATCAAACTTTTAAAACTAATAAAATAATCATATCATTTTATCTTTTACTAAATTTGACCTAATTCAAACTCATATAACAAAATGATTCAAATTTTACAAATAATTCGTTTTCACGAAACAAGTAATTATCTTAAAATTTGACAACGTCATGTTTTTTTTTCCTTTTTTTTTTTCAACTTGAAAATAAAACATTTGCATCAATATAACAGAAAACACCCATGTCTCTGATACCACTTTGGGTTTTGAGCATTCTAACACTCTTATGGTGTACATCCAGCCCTATAAACCTTGGATCTATGTTTTCTCTATTATACATGCAAATATTACTATTCCAAGGTTTCATCCTAACTAGCATATTATGAAGCACCTATACTACAAGTTCTAGTTAGATGACATACCTTTTGATGTAGCTTGATGTCTTCAAGCTTTAAGAGCTTAGCCCTAATAGTGTGGAAGCCTCAAATGGAATCACAAATCACCAAACACCTTGGATGAACTTGAGAGAATGTATGCACACTAAATCGGCCCACTCTTATTTTTCACACACTTTTCCCAATTTGTGAGCCAGGACCCTTTAATATTATGGAGGATTAAGGTTACATCCATGGAAACCCTAATACCCATGACCTTTCATTTACATAGGATCCATGGGTTAAAAGCTCCATGGACCATCCATGAAAGCTTAGCCCAACCTAAATGAACTTGGCCCATTCCATATATATAAGAGTCCATATTTAATTAGTTCTTTTTGATCACTTAATTAATTCTAAATTAATTCTTGATCAATACTAATTAAATAATATGATTCCATATTAATATATTAGAACTTATAATATATTAATATAAATCATAAATATACTATCTCAAAAGACTATCCATATAAATTGTGCCGGTGAAGTGCAACCCAAATGGACCATGCCGGGTCGGGTCAAGTACATACCAAATATAGTTATGGACTTAGACATTAATCCAACACGTATCTCCCAGTCAGGCGAGTGTGGGCGGGGCCCGTATGTCATAGCTTAGTTTGATTATAGATATATGCATGATTGATAGATTTAGTTATACTTCTTGTCTGTGTGATACTTGTATGTATGTTTAGTAGCTGAGTGTGGGCGGGGTCCATATCTCATAGCAAGCTGAGTGTGGGCAGGGCCCGAATCTCATAGTAGCCGAGTGTGGGCGGGGCCCGTATCTCGTAGTAGCTGAGTGTGGGCGGGGCCCCTATCTCAGAGTCAGGGAAGTGTGGGCGGGGACCGTATCTCCATGAGTGTGGGCGGGGCCCGTATCTCTTAGTTGCATGTTATATGTGTATGGTATGTGGTAGTTTGGGGAGACTCACTAAGCTTCGTGTTTGCAGTTTTCAGGTTTGGTTTCAGGTACTTCCGGTAGCAAGGGGAAGAGCTCGGGATGATTGCAGTGCACACACCATTTGTTCAGCCTGGGATGTTTATACTCTGATATTTTGATATACATTGATATGATGGTTGAGATATTATGACATGTGCTTTGGATAACTATGGTTTTATTAATAATTAAAAACGAAATTTTTGGGACTGTATTTTTGGGATGTTTCAACAATACCCCAAAATGCAGATCTGACCCCATAAGGTTAGATGGCCACGTAAAGTTTCCATCTTTACGCTTAAGCATGACTAGAAGGAGCTCAAAAGCTCAAAAAGGGCTAAATGAAAGACTTAATGGATGCATGAAGCCCTTAAACCTATAAAGTTGGCACCTTTATGCCAAAAGAGCTCATGAAGATCATAGATCTAAATGAATAAACACTTGGGACTTCTAATTCCCTAACAACCACCCATCCATGGCTAAAAGCATACAATCTAACCCAAGAAGAGATCTAAGCAAATATTAAGCAAGGTTAGAACTTTATATCCGAAATGTGCTGGAAATGGAGCATAGAATCAAGATCTGAAAGCTCCTATTTGAACCACCACCTTGCACCAAGCTTCTCTTCCTTCAATGAGCTTCCAACACACCAAAACACACCCAAAATGAGCTCACAACACTTAAGGAGGCTCTAGGGTTTTGAGATTAGGGTTAGGGGCTATGGAGGCTGGGAATGAGGCCAACACTTGGGACTTAAGGTGTTTAAATAGGGTGCAAAACCCTAAAATTAGGGTTTCTCAATCAACGTCCAACTCGCCGAGTTCCCTTCACCAACTCGCCGAGCTGGTCCATAAAAACGTACGACCCAAAAGCCTCAAACGCGTCGAGTTTCTACCATCAACTCGACGAGTTGGTCCCTAGGAAAAGGGATTTATTTTCCACAATTAATCTTCTAGATTCTGGGTGTTACAAAAACGTGAGGGTTCATTGGACTGACCAATCACCATAAGTAACTAATTCATTACAAAAACCATCGTATTCTCCATTATCTCCAACTATCTTTTTAACTTTAACCACTCTCAAAAGAGGCGTTAATTCGAAGATCACAACTGAATACCCATTCTATAGAAGTCGTGGTCGCCAAGAAAGGTTTGATGGCGAAGAGAGAATGGATGTGGAATATCAAGTCGTTGGTGACAGATTAAGGAGCTAGTCTTCGGAGAGAAGATGAAGGCAGAGGGAGGGCGTCAGAACTGAAGCTAATATGGTAGGCATTGGAGATGATAGGAGGGTGTCACCTCCATCGATGGACTGCACATGGACGACGATGGCTAACCCTTTTAGGCAATTTTTTTTCAAACTTTTACAAAAATGATCCTTAAGAAACACACCCAATTTTGAGGTTCTGGTAACATACATATCAACTTCAAATTTATCAGTGGAAGCTCATTGTAAAGGTTAATTAATCAAAATTGGTGACATATGAACATTAAGAACAAATATATACTGAATTGAAATCAAATTCACACTTTGAAGCTGGTAATAAGAACCTTGAAACATTATCCTGCAAATGTCCATCCCTAGTTCCAGGACCACCACCTGTAACCGGTCTTATTTTCTTCTGAAAGAAACCCATATGCTCTAATCTCCTTACTTCCATTAAACACATAAACCTTAGGGATTTTCCTGCAAAAATCCCTCTTTCGCATTTTCAATCTCTCTGCAAATCCTAGCCATGCTGCTCACGATCCTCTTTTTGAATTACAACAACTAAGAGGTTCGTCGTTTCTCATTCTGGGTAGAGAACCAGTCTGTTTCTCCTCTCAACCTCAGCTTTGCCTTGCTTTCTATTCAGCTAATACAAATCGAAAAAGGGGTGTCTTCAACTCAACACACACACACACACACACACACACCTGCAACTCAAAACACAGACACACACACATACACACACACACACACTAAATCAGATTTTCAAGATTTGTAAATCCACACAAGAATCGAAGCAATCTCCACAAGAATCGAACCCAATTGAAGAAATCAATGATTTCTATGAGGTTCGGATGTTATGGTTTATAAATCCACCTGATCGGCCACATGGGTTCAATACACACACGACAAGAAAAAGGAAAAGAGGAAGCGATTGAACGACTTCATCAGAGAATCGAACCTAACTTTATCCCACCCTCTTCGATGTCGGGACCTTGAGCTCTGCTTCAGCGTAGATCGAACGAACTCATCAGAGAAGAAATGAAAGAGTTAAAGATAAAGAAAGAAAGTCAAAGAGATAGAAGGAGAAAGAAGGGGAGGGTGTGGGGTAGATGATTTTTTCTTTTTTTAAAATTATTAAAATATAAAGAAAAAAAATAAAAAAAAAAGAAATAATAAGGGAAAAATAGTCTTTTCAACTTTATTATGACCAAAATCACGGAAAAATCTTGATTTTAGACCATCTACGTAAATCGGAAACTTTTTGGACCTTATCCACAGTTTTTTGAATTCCACAGGACCAATTTTACAGTTTTGTATTCTTATTAATTCATTAAATATGAATCAGACATTCTATGTTTTACATTATATATGTTCTACGTCATTAAGCTATACATTATATATGTTTTACATTATAGATGTTTTTACACTCAATGATTGCCAATGATTGGTATCACTATCACCCTCCTTCAAGATACGATAGGCAAATTCTAACCATACAAAGTAGGAAGTATTACATCAATATATAGTTGGACAAATTTCAAATTATACCCGAAAACTAACCGAATAACAGTCAAAATAATATAAATCGACAAGTAATTAATAAATTTATTTGATTTGTATTAGAATTTATATTTGATTTGGGTTGTACCCCATAAGAGAAGAGATGATGTTTATTATTTTCAATCGAGCAGAAGAAATAACAAAAATGACAGTGATAATCAGGGGGATTTTACCGGAATTTTATGAAAACATGCATCATGACTTGTGCAGTACAAGGCCACGATGCATGTTACAAGTCCGGGGCAAAAATTTAAAATCACTCTCAGCTACCGTATCAGTATTCAGTATGCTTATTCATACAAAAATTTGTCAATATATGTCCGTCATCCGTCAACTTGGTCATGGAATAATATTAATTCCGTCTGTACTATTAGAGAACTGCGGCGGCCATCGCCGCCCCTCTTTTAATGGCTCTGCCACCACCGTCCGCTGCCGTCGCAAAGCTCCGGGAATGACTGAAGTTGTACATGAACTGGTTTACAATCACTGACCCTGGTCCTGCCACCATCTCTGCCCACGACTTATCGGCTTCTCTGCCGCCCCTTTTCTGGAAGACGGCGGTAGCGTCCAGCCGGTGAATTTTCCACCCTTTAACGTTCCTTAGACGGTGAATTTTTTCGAGCTGCCGGCAGGCTAGTTTGCATGTATTAATCTTTGTTTCATTAATGGCTTCTTCTAATAATTTGGCCTGAGTTTTCTTGTCGAAGGAAGATGAATACTCAGATTGAAAATAGGCATCGAATTCCGGCACTCCGATAGCTCGTCGGATCCCTTTTGAGTAATCGGCGTTAGGGTTATACATTTTTCTAACTTCTTCGACTATTCCGGCGTCCACCATCCGATCAACCCTGTCGGAAACAAAACGGTGAAGCACAGGCATTGCGACGTCGACCCACAAGAAACAAACCTCGTAACGTGACCGGAATTCATAATTCTGATCATCAATCAATGCTTCGATGAAAGAATTGGATCCTCCGGCGATGATCGGAAGCTTACCTCTTCCGACAATCGATTTCATGGTGATTGACGCTGTACTGACGAAATTTCTGGCGGTGAAATCCGCTTCCGGATCCACTATTCCGAGGAGGTGGTGGGGGACGCCGTCGCATTCTTCGTCGGTGATTTTGTTGGTGACGATGTCTAAACCTTCATATACTTGCATTTTATCGGAGTTTATAATCTCCGCGGGGTAACTTGCGGCGAGGTCGATGGAGAGTCTTGATTTTCCTGTACCTGTGGCACCCATAACCACCACCACTTTTTCCTTCTGTGGCCGGCACCGGAGCATCGATAAGTTCATTCGGCCAGTGGGTATTTGCAATAAAGACGGCTGAGCTTCGTGGCACAACATCATTGTCATCTTCATTGTTGATGCCCTAAATTAAAAAGTCTCAATTTTTTTTTTTCAAACGAATAGAGTACAATGAAAAATGAATAAATTCTTTTGCTTTTTTAGTGGTATTATATGCGGCAACTTGCAAACGTGTGGCTTGTGGGGGAGAGAGATAGTGGTCGAAGGTGGTGGCTTAGCTTTGAATCATTTGAAACTACAATTCTTTAAGTTGAGACTTGAGAGAGAAGCAGCAAATATGAGTTGAAAACTTGAAATGTGCATGATGGAGAACACATACGCATATGTGCTATTTATATTGAACAAAAAGTTAAGTTTGAATTGACAATTCGTTTTTCATCAAATTAAAATGGGCCCTACCCAATGTCTTAATATTATTTGGTTTCATGAAATGAAAATACCAGATGTGGAAATTAAACTCGCGGTTCGGTACTTCGGTTAACTAAATATTGGGTTCGGTCGATTTTTATGGTCTGGTTGGGTAAATATCAATGTATCATATATAAGCCAGAAAAAACTTTTTGACACATCACAAATATTATTTAATACGAACTTATTATCATAAATTTATTTCGATCAGAGGCCGAATGCTTCATATATTAAAAAACCATGTTACCAAGGAGTTAGTGAAAATTAAAAATGTAGCATAGGTCCAATGGGTCTTTAAGTCATTTCATCCTAAGTAATCGGACTCCTACTAACACACCATGCAAACACATGACTAATAATGGAATCGAATATCACCTCTTTTCTCATATTTTTGTCACCGAACATTGTCGTGAACATAATCACCTCAAACAGTCTCCTTGGTTGGATGATTTGTAAAGAATCAACCTAGCTACGTAACAAGCTCTTCGAAGCCATCCACCCCGAGAAAACTAACATCTATCCACCTGAAGATAACATTCCAAGTACCTACTGCAATTTCACATTTAATGAATAAATGATTCGAATCTTCCATAACATATGAACAAACCTAGCATAAGATAGAAGGAACATCAATTCCTCTACAAACAAGATTTTTAGTAGTAGGAATTTAATTCAATCATAACCTCCACACAAATAAGTTGACTTTTCTGGAAAGAAGCCGAGACTATTTACTTGGAATAGATCTGTCCAGAAGCAAATAATTATCAATAATCATCAATACATCTTGTCTCAGTAAACCATGAAAATCCCAGTATCGTCAAGCACCTACATGTATTTATGTATCAGGACTCTGAAAATTGAAATTGGTGTAGCAAAGATTCAAGTTCTAGTAATTAGGAACTTTCTATACCCCTCTCACAATGCACCTCCAATTCCAAACCGACGTGTTAATTTGCCACCGGCCCATACTATAAAAAAAAAAAAAAATCAATTTCTAGATTATATAATCTTTGAAAACCGAACAAGGAATGAGACTTTCCCGATTACTAGCTATCTTATTGAAAGCTTTTAAATTCCAAGCACAAAATGCAGGTTGTCAATCTGTGTCTATCCCATTCTTTCATTTACCAAAAACTCTTTCATGAGTGGTTTCATGTCTACAAAGTACCACTTCATTTTTTTCACTACGAACAAACTTAATACATAAGCTACTAGATTAAGATTTAATCCATATCCATGATCCACCAATATATAATTAAGGGGTGTTTGAGAATGCTTTTCAATCAAATTATTAGCTTTTGGGAAAAGCCACGAATTTCTGGCTTTTTGAAAAAGTCGTTTTTACATTAAAAAGTTGGTGTTTACCAAAAACTTTTTTAATTTATTGACTTTTTGAAAAGTCAATAAGTTAATAGGCAGAATTTTGTTTTAAGGCAAACCAAATAATTTACAAAATATGAACGAATGACAAAATTCTTCAAACGAGAACAAAATGTAATTATATATGTATTCTAAACTAAATTGTTTATCTAAGTTGCACACGATGTTGTCTTACGTCATTAAAATAATCTAAAATGGAGTCTAATCAACATATGCAACAATGTATTCCCTTCTACAAAATTTCAAGTTTTGAATAAGATAGGTCATATCACAACCCTAATTCCTTTACCCTAATTCTTTTTATAATTTCTTTTATTTAACAAAAATATATATTTAACATATCATATATATGTAATCTTAAATTTGTGTGGGTGGGCCAAGACCCACTCTTGCGCCTATATGGCTACGCACGTGTTAATAAGTCATTTTGAAAAAAACTCCCAAACACCCCCTTAATCTATATATCCGAGAAACCCTCTTTGTTACACACTTTATACATGTTTGAAATGAGATTTTATCTCATGAACACTTGCTAGTACTACACATGAACCATCCAATACCATTAGCAAATCATTGGCCTATAACACAATCTTTTTTACAGTCGAGGCTTTTGTTTCATGTTCTTTATTATTTTTTTTCTACAATTAAAACTGACGCAAAGGACTTCACATTTCCTCCTCCTTTCCCCTTACCTCCTTGTTTGCTTCAGTTATGATCTTGATTAACTTGTTGTTCCATAGTCGGTTTAAGGTTCTTGTCTGCATGTAAAAACTGAGTTGTGGATGGAAATTAGTGATAGTTTCCGATCCATATAGTGCATATGTTTCGAATCAATAATTGCTTGTCTACTACCCGAAATAATCTGATGAATCCAAATATTTTGCCAATTTCGGATAGCTTCTTTACAATACAAACATCTAATACACCCCATAAACTTCATATGTTCTCTATAAATCTTTCAATTGAATCATTTTCGAAAAAATGGTGACCCTAAGTCTATGAGGTGATGTATTATCTCCTCATTTGTATAATCTATTTTTCTAAGCAACATCCATGCAAATTTATCAGGTGCAACTATGAGACTTCATTCTATATTGACGAATGTTTGTGTTTCGGTATATTGATTTAAATTTAAAACTGATTCGACAGATTCAGTTGTATCAAATCACTCATAATTATGTAACACGCGTTTCCCAGAATGGATCAGTGTATGGAATTAAAGAGTCAAAGGCATGATTTTTGGGAAAAACCATGAGTAACGACGTGACCATAGGGAGGTCACGACGTGACAAGCTGAGTTGAAGAATATGCATCTGGAGGAGCAGTCACAACGTGACACATAGCTGATCACGATGTGAAAAGGGCTGCAACCCAAGCCCATGATCTTTTAGGGTTTTCCTCATATTTAAGCACCCTAAACTCAGATTTAGGGTTTATTTCTTAGCCTCCACCTCTCTCAAACCACAAAAACCCTAACCCTAGCCCATCTTGGTGGTTTTAGATCATTTTGGGTGGTTTTAGCTCTTTGTTGAAGAAGAAGGCCCCTTTGGTGCATTGTTTTAGCAATTAAGCCTCATCCTCAGCATTTTATGTTGCTTCTGGACCTTTGTAAGTCCTCAAGTTCTTGCCTTTATCATTAAAACATATTAGATCTATGTTTTACCCACTTTTCTCCATGTATATGATGGGTTGAATGCATGGAATCCATAATGTTAGCAACTGTATGGATCTTTTAGGTCATTTGATAAGAATAAGTCTTAGATCTGAAGTTTGGTGGTGGATTAGACACCAAGCATGAGTCTTGGTCTTATTTTCCCTTTATTTTAACCTTGTTAGTGTTCAAGTCATGCATTATACATGCATTACTAAAAAGCTACAATTTTTATGCTCCTTTGGGTTGGGGAAAGCCTTCTAGAAGGTTTGAAGGATTAAGAGCTTAATGATTTAAGCTGTCTAGATAAGGTCTAACGACATGACAGGTTATGTATCATGTCGTTACGGCGGGTGTTTTGCGTGACTTTTTTGTCAGGACTCTGTCTGTAATGACTCAAAAATCATAATAAATTTAAACTTTTTAAAACAACCCATAGTCATAAAAGGTTTAAAAAATCATTGTTTCCAAATTGTTTATCAATATCAGAGTATCCCAAAATCATAAAACCATAAAACAGAGGATGTGTACATTCACGCCTTCGCCTTCCCGCGATCATCAGAAGTACCTGAAACAACAGACTAAAAACTGTAAGTCAAAGCTTAGTGAGTTCCCCTAAAGTACCATCACATAAACAGATAACATATACAACAACATGTCGGGTCCAATCAACCATCGGGTTGGAATACCCCAGGACCAATCAACCTCCGGGTCCAGTCATCCTCGAGATGGAATACCCCAGGTTGGAATGCCAATATACAACGGGTCCAGTCATCCTCGGGATGGAATACCCTTGGGCCCAATCAACCATTGGGTTGGAATGCCACCGGTCTGTTGGCTCACGCACAAAGCAGTAAGGCCTCGACCACAACTCAAAATATGTCGACATATACATAACAGATAGACAAACAGGCAGATCTACAGATTATTACCGCATAGCAACACCCTATAAACTAGGATACAGATCTAACATATTAGTACAACATAACAACATACGGTAAACCCGAATATCAATCCAATGGGCCGGCCTTGGTGCCTTCGACTAGAAAGTCCAGGGAGGAAAACTCACCTCACAGTCTGAACAATAGCTGATGAGGTCCAGACTCCGTATCTCAGCTCTAACTGTCACATATTCATCCAAAATGACCAATTCTCAAACACCATTCAAAATACCCAATATACCCCTTGGTCACTTGGTCAAAGTCAACATTAAATTGGTCAAAAATCAACAAGTCAACTGAGTCAACCCAGCCGAGTCAACACAGAATGCGTACGCGGGGCGTACCTAAATCTTGACTACAGATGGGATGTTTGACCACATATGCGCTGCGTAATCAGGTTACGTAGGGCGTACGCCCAGACTTCTCAAAACTTCATTAAGAGCTTAATGCCTTAAGCTCTTACGTCTAACTTTCAGATCCAAGGCCAAATCATCCTCAAGAGTCATAAAGTTTCCAACTTTATGACTTTGCATGCCCATTAAGTGCCCAATACCCCAAAGTACAACATCTTAATGCATTAAGACCTTCTAAAGAAAGCATGGAGCAAAACTAAGCATCCAAACCACATTTTTATGACTTAAGACCCTTCCTAAGGTCTGAAAGGACGACTTAAT